CCCCCGCCCCGGCCACGGCCCACGCTCCTCAAAGGCCACCACCGCCGCATTTGCCTCGTCTCGCCCATCATCCACGTAGTACGTCCTCGGTACCCACCCTCCCTCCACCGCAGCCCGCCCGCGTTCGACCCCTTACGTCTTCCTCGCTGCGTTGCGCACCAAGTTGTGCTTTGGGCGGTACTGGCGCTTGTTGTCCAGCATCATCGTGATCCCCTTGCGCGTGGAGACTTCGCCTGACCTGGTCGGTTTCTGCGCGTCCTTGGTGGTCTTGGTGGTCGTGCTGAAAGTTCCTGGCAGAGTCTTGTCGCCGAGTAGGTGGGGGCGTACCTGGACCACCTCGGCGTCTTCTTCCGACCGGTGGATTGGTGTGACCTTCTCGTCCCGGAGAAAGTTGTGGAGGCGAAAGAGCGCCGTGATGAGGTCGCAGNACGCGTGCAGACTTCGCCTGACCTGGTCGGTTTCTACGCGTCCTTGGTGGTCTTGGTGGTCGTGCTGAAAGTTCCTGCCAGAGTCTTGTCGCCGAGTAGGTTGGAGCGTACCTGGACCACCTCGGCGTCTTCTTCCGTCCGGTGGATTGGTGTGACCTTCTCGTCCCGGAGAAAGTTGTGGAGGCGAAAGAGCGCCGTGATGAGGTCGCAGCGCCCAGCGAACTGAACACGCAACGGCTTCCACAGGATGCCCCCCTGGCCGACAAGAATGCCGAACGCTTGCGATCCTGACTCTGAGTTGGCTCAGATAGAAGTTGAACGCATCGTTGTCCAGCGGCAGTCCCCTCCCTGGATACGGAGTCAACAGGTGGTCGCTTAGGGGCTGAGCCGCGTCTCCGAGCATGTAGAAGCCTGGTGGCAGGTTTTTTACCGCTGTGGATAGATCCGAATGGTTCCATGCCGTCCAGTCATTGGTCGAGCCGGGTGCAATGCAAGACATGCTGCAAAACCGGTAGTTGGCATCGCATGTCGCCTGTACGTTCACCCCGTAGCCGCACTTGCTCCCAGAATAATACGAGAGAACGTTCGGAGTGTTGAGGGCAGTCGGAGCAAGAGTCTTCACGAAGAGGCCATCCCCCGCAGCTACTACACCTTGAAAGGCGCCGCCCGTGCTTTTTTCCTGAGGATAGACATGGCGCGCGGGGAGGGACACAACAGAGGCGCTCTTAGATTCGTTAAAGTTTGATTTTCGGGCAGCGGCAAGCCCATCGACTACCCCAGAAAAAACGTACAGGCGTGTGCGAGCAATTAAAGACGAGCCCTCTCCTAGACATGCCAATCAATACAGTGCGACTGTTCGTGCCAGTATCCCCTGCAGACTGGAGCTCATTTCGCCATGCATCAAGCCAATACGTGGACACAAGATATAGAGGTTTCCCCGTGCTGTCACAAGTGTTTCCCGCTCGCTCCTTATTCGGTGCGTCTAGACAAGCAGGATATTCTGCCGAGCGGAGGACCGACATGCATGCATCCATGCAATCCGCGTCATTTGTTTTGGGCCAGACTCTGCAGCGTGGTGCCTTGCGTATGTACCATACACGTTAGGATGCCTGCAGCCTACGGAAGAGGTGAAGTTGAACTGCTCTTCCGACACCAGACCCGGTAGGCATACCAAAGCACAACACCTGTCTGTCCATTTTCGCCGCCTTGCCTGTTCTTGGCCATGTTCGCACGTACGTCTGTTCGCATACTGTAATCTATATTCGAAGTAATGCTGAAACTAAACCGCCACCAAACAACCGCCACCAAACACGATCATGTGTTTGTTCACATCATCATAGTCACCTACCTGGAATGCAAACATGCAATCTACCCTGCGGCTGTAAACTAGGGTATCATTTCCGCACCTCCCATTCTGCCGCCTGCCGGGTGCACTCATCCTCGCTCTGNTCGAAGAAATGTTGAAACTAAATCGCCACCAAACACGATCATGTGTTCGTTCACAACATCATATTCACCTACCTGGAATGCAAACATGCAAACTACCCTGCTGCTGCAAACTAGTGTATCATTTCCGCACCTCCCATTCTGCCGCCTGCCGGGTGCACTCATCCTCGCTCTGCGGAAAAAAGAACGGCCCAACCTCTGCTGTGCTGTTGATGGCATCCACCACCTGCCACAAGATGCTGAAGACCGTCTCCTTGGACACGCCGAACAGCACGGCGACATCGAGATACGAAGCACCGGCCATCATCCGCAAGCCGATAGCTAGTCGGATCTTCGTGGGAACAGCACCGCGTCGATACCGTTTTCCTGTTTCGCACGAAGCACGAAATAAGCATAGCGTGAACGTATCAGCAGACAAAAATAGTAAGTGCTGGGCGGTGAAACTGTTACCCTAACCCTAGTCAGACACCGGAGGTCACCGTCCTGCTGGTGTAAACCGTCCTGCTGGTGTGAGAGTGCGGGCGGTGGTGCTGCGGGATGATTCGCCTTGTTCCTACAGCAGTAGTCTACACCGTGGTCTTCTGCAATGCTACACTTCAGCATCAGCAACAAACGGAAGGACGGGAAAAACACCACGGCATGAGTTCTGCGCCTCGTACGTCAATCACACTCTCTCTCTCTCTCCCTGCCCCCCCGCCCCCTCATCTCTTACTCCCGCCCTCTCTCTATTCTCACTTGCGTAGTAGTCGTTCCGTTGGAGGATCGGTTCCAGCAACCCAGCCAGTTTGTTGAACACCGGTTCCTCCATGCGATACATCCTCCGGAAGAGCTTCCGCTTCTTGAGGTCAGCAGCGTGATCCTCCCAAACCAGGCGCCGTGGCTCGTGGATAGCCGCACGCGTCTTGTTAGCGCTAGCGTGCACAGCTACAGAGGTGACCACTGCCGCCGCGCTCAGCACCAGAATCACCGCAGCAGCAGCTGCTTTCATCTGCCGCACCAGCTCTTGGCGACCGGATGCACGCCTGAATCATTGGCTCGGTGGGCCAGCACAGGACGAACCAAGAGGCGCGCCGCGTTTCCTGCGGTCCGCCATGGCCCTGCCGCTATCCAAGTACCCTCCGCCGCTGCTTCTCCCTTGTAGTTGGCCCTGTAGGTCCTTTAGCTGCTGGGTGTGTTGTGATGCTCCAATATATTTGGAAAATTTGGAAGCTACTGAGTACAAATTTTGGCGCCCAGGTTCGTTCCAAATTTTTGGAATAAATTTGGACAAACGCCTCTCTCTGTACAAGTTTCGAAATTTTGGAAAATTTGCACACCCTGGACAACTACAATAGTTGGTAGTTGTTTGCCAAACAACTATTCCGTCAGCATCTTGTGCAACTAGTTGTTTGCAAGCAATTACTCCGTCAGAATCTTGTGCAACTCGTTGTTTGCAATCAACTATTCCGTCAGAATCTTGTGCAACTAGTTGCTTGCAAACAACTACTCGGTCAGAATCTTGTGCAACTATCATAGTTGTTTGCAAACAACTATTCCGTCAGAATCTTGTGCAACTAAATGTTTGCAAACAACTACTCCGCCAGCATCTTATGCAACTAGTTGCCTGCAAACAACTACTCCGTCAGAATCTTGTGCAACTAGTTGCCTACAAACGACTACTCCGTCAGAATCTTTTGCAACTAGTTGTTTACGAACAACTACCGGGTGTTGTCTGATAGTTGGAGCAACTAGTTGTGAATTGGTGGTGACGAAAAGCGAAATAGGTAGTACGAATATGTGCGATATACATGCGTTTCACGTCGCTTTTTGCTAGTGCTTGATGAATGCACCACGTGCTAACAAGATTAAGATTGAGACTGAGATTGATTATCTCGACCCCGCACTCATATTTCTTTCTCTCTCACGAAAGAGCGATCTTCCACACAAAACATCGTCTGTTCGTGAGTCTGCGAACATTGCTGTTGGATACATGTGCTGGATGATTTAGTGTCACGCAGACTGGTAAGATAACCGTTTGATAGGGGGCACAGCGATGATTCACGGGGCCCCTCCTTGCTGTGGGAGCCGCTCTTTGAGCACTCCCTCTTTCGTCCGTGTGAAGGACGGTCGTCTACCTCCCGTGAAGTTAATACATCACCAAAACAGTCTCACCCGATAAATAAGTGGCGTAGGCCGCAAACGCTCTACTAGACTAGAGTTTTTGCCCCTCGAGGGAAGCCACATCGGGATGAGCTCTGCTGGAGACGAAGAGCGCGCTGCTGCGAGCGGAGAACAGATCC